TACATACATACATACATACATACATACATACATACATACATACATACATACATACATACATACATACATACATACATACATACATACATACATACATACATACATACATACATACATCTATATATCTGTGTGTATATATGTGTGTGTATGTATAGACACACACATACGTACACACACATACATACATATACATACACATACACACACACAAATAGGTGGAGTAGAAGTCTTTGTGTGGTCTGTGTACAATTACCTGCAACAAACCTTTCCTACTCCCTTTCACCAGGCCTAGGCGAATGTACCTAGTGGGCACAGTACTTCAATGCAAAACATACTTCACCTTAGGATGGGGAGTGGGTGGAATTAAAAACATAGCCTTGGATTGACTGGCCTGCTATTTTTAATTTAGGTAAGTCTGGCTGAGATACGGAACAGGCAGACCTGAAGTTACTATTTGACTGGACATTCCCATAATACCTGCAATATCTGCACGCAGGTGATTACAGAGGCACCAGAAAAAAATCCACCCATCATGATGGTTTGTTTATTTGCCCTATTTTTATACAGCTACCCTTGCATTTCCAAACACTCTCTTTATTTTCCGGCCACTCTCAAACGGGTTCCAAAAAGGGGAAGCCATAAACTGAGCAAATGGAGTCAGTTTCCTCAGGCCCTTGAGGCCTTTAGCTTCTGCTGCCACTTCTAGGTGCTGAGCCAAAGCGAAGGCAAGAAACAAAAATACACCAAACTCCCAACACTATTTCCAGCAGAAATTGCATCCACTTGTTGGTTACTTTTTTAAACAACTGCTGACCTGAAGGAATGCCCTAGAGTAGGAGCTGCTGTTAGTGTGCAGGAAAAAATGGGGAGATGCAACACTGATGTAGGTGGTAACCTGGAGCAGAGATGAAGCAGGCCTGGTCCTGAGAAAAGGTGGCATTCAGACCTGACTCTCCGACAGAAAATGTTTACACTTCTGAATAAAAGGTCACTTTATAGCAACAGCCATAAAACTATAAATTCCTGACAGCTCACATGTCTTCCAAACAAGTGTTTAAACTATCCTCTAGAAAACCAGAGGTACTGAGGCCTGCGGCCATTCATATAAAGTGGGAATCAGGGCACCCGCCACGCAGAAAAGGCTCAACTTGTTATAGATCAAAATCCATCTTCCGATTACTATATTCAGACCAATCGCCCCTTAGGCCTCATTACACAATGAGGATGATATCAGTTTTTAAAAAGTACTTCAGTCGACATACAAGGTACAGTGCAGACTAACAACTGTGGCATCTTTGCTATTTGGGGAATCAAAACCTTTCAGGAGACAACAGAGGAGAAAGGTTGCGGCTGTGAAGAATAAATGTGTCACCTGCCTGTCTGTGAGGATTTCTAGACAGTGAGAGCAGACATGTGTGAGTGGAAGTGACATGTTTGTAACTTACGTCTTACCACTCAATGGAAAAAAAGTAAGCCTGACACAGATTAAATCTGTGGTGTTTATGTCTCTTCTCTTCTCAGACTTCCTTCAAACTGGGGGACAAGATTTTCCAATTCGACCAAGGATAACCGCGATCAATCCATGTGGCCAAAGACAGCTCACTACCCAAGTATGGCAATCGGTTTTAAGGGGTTCAATAGGTCTCCAAGTCTTGTTAATAAGTATTGCCTCTGTCTCTGAAAAGCAGAAGGGGGAGCTGTCCAACATCTAACAAGCTTCCATACAAGGTTAATAGTCTTGCCAGGATCCAAGTTCATATGACTGGATCCCACTCTACTAAAGCTCTCAGATTTTGGAACACCACCCAGGAATTTTGATGCTCGGACATGGCTTGATTCATGCAAAAGACTTTCAGTTCTTTCACAGCCTGTTGAAAGGGCCTGACAATTTTGGTTGCTAGCCTATACAGGTGATACTTCAGGCTGCCTTTCATTTTTTTCCTCATTCAAAACAGTAACCCTCTCAAGGTGCAGGGTATATACCTGGAGTCTACAGATTTCTGCTTGCAGCTGCTTCAGCCATCCTGGAGGCGCATTTAGCTTTAGAGGTCATGGGATCTGTCACAACTGAGGTTTCATGGATTTATGTCTCACACATTATATTTCATGCCTTGGAAGGTGACTCTCACAAGCGGCCCATGGCAGTATTTAAGACAGGAGTTTATATATAACATGGGTTCTACAGAATGAGAGATGTCATATTGGCTTATCTAGTTTAGAAGAAACACTTCCAGTTTTTCAACTCGCATTCTTAAATTAGTAAGAGACGTTCACAGCAAAATAATATTACATTTTCATTGCCTAGGTCGAAAGATATTTGTCAGAAATAAGTCTAAGTATCTCCAGAATTTCAGGACTGAGAAAGGCAAACTCTTAAGGGAATGGTGGATCCAAAATCATGACCCACCTGCTCCATTCCACCCTTTACCTTCACTTCTACTAGAATGCTGCTCCAAATGCTCTGAGAAAAAGGTTGGGGAGCACAGGGAAAGAAGCCCTTCTCCTCACTCCCTGGAAAGGTAGTAGCTAGCGTCAGTGCTAAACAAGGGAGACAACCACATTTTTCCAGCATGGTATTGGCTTCTCTCTCTCTCTCTTTCTTTCATATAAGAAGCACAAAACAACTAATAGTATCCGATATAAAATTAGATAATCATCTGTAAATTAAAAACATAAACTGGTTTGCAAAAATAAAATTCCTTAGTGCATGTTGAGGGGCATAAAGTACACTCACTGTTCTTGTCTGTATTCTCAGAGAACTGTGTCAGTTCAAACCCCTCATTTCCTTAGGTTCATCTTGGTTCTGCCAACAACACTCCATCGCCTATCAAGTGACTTCCCAGTAACTCAGTTCTCAATGTGACCGGAGGCTAGACTTTCCTAGTGCTGTATCCATTTTAGCAGGTTTCTTTCCAATTTTTTCTTTTCTTCTTGCAATCCTGGCAATTTTTTTTTGCTGTTTCTTTAGGGTTTTCATATTTTAAAAACAAACAAAACAACAACCCCCCCCAAAAAACCATTTTCCTTGATTTTAATCTAAGAGGAGTGGGATGGTAGCCAAAGAGTGGATGAACACTGGATATAGATGTTTTGAGTTTTTCACTATTATCTGCTACCACTCTCCATGTGTCACTGGGCGCAATGCCTGCTAGATAATTGATGGCTTCAGGCATCCAGTAATGATTCTGCAGCTTTTCACTGAGTGCTAAGTCTGCCTGTGTCACATGGGCTGAACTATACACCAGACTTATGTATTCACCTGCAGAGTAGCATAAGGCCAATGCTGTAGTTCTTAATGTTTGTGGTTGTGTGCCTCAAATAGTTCCCAACAGCTTTTAAAGAATATTGTTCCTTGCAGAGACCTTTTGCTTTGTATTTTGGCAATGTTTCTTATAGATCAATGTACAATTTAAAAAATCTAGTTATTTGCAGGCAAAACAATTATCTAGTTGGACACTCTAATTGATTTGAAGTTTCCAAGATGCCTGCTTGTTTCTTATATGAAAGGCACATATGTGAGGGTTGGAATTAAATTCGGTTCTACCATAATATGTGACAGGTTGTTCTAACACAGTGGTTCTTAACCTTTGTTACTGAGATGTTTTTGAACTGCAACTCCCAGAAACCCCAGCCAGCACAGTTGGTGGTGAAGGCTTTTGGGAGTTGCAGTCCAAAACTCCTGAGTAACCCAAGGTTAAGAACCAGTGTTCTAACACATCCATTAAGAGATGCTTTA